ACCCGCTCTTGCTACACTCAGCGAACGTTGACTTCGAACTGCCGACTTCGAACGACTCCCTCAATAAGACTTCAAATTACCATCAAATCAACAATATCATATCCACATCGACCAGCATCAATAACACCAACCTCAACCCAATCGCAGCAGTCGAATAAAAAAACCACATGAAATAAACAAATCAACCAAAAAACAACAAGCACTAAACACCGAATCAAGTCAACAAATCAATCAAGCAAGTCCCACTTGGGTTCCTGGTCGGACTCGACTGTCGTATCAGTTGTGACATTCCGTTCGAAATCGACGTGCCACTAGCACTGCTCGTCGCATGGCATATCAGTTGCGCATTGTTCACCTTTTGAAACGCACAAACCAGCTGATTATTCGACACGTCCAAATGTCTCAGCCTTGACGGGAGACACTCTATAGCTCCCAGCGATGTCAACTTGTTATAAGCGACGTTCAAACGTGCCAGTCTTGGACAACAGCAAGCCAGACATGGCGGTAATACTTTCAACTGAAAGCACCTTGGCAAGATTACACTTTACAGATGCAAGATTCCATCTTAATACCATAAATTAACCAATAGTAAATCAGTCTCTCAAAATTATCGTTTTGAAGTTACTGCTAGATGAGAATACTTCTAACTTCGATATTACTCTGTATATGTAATTCACTACTCAGTCATTTATTTACCTCTCTAAACGTGAATATCTCACTGGGTAAATTACTAATCTGAAGTCGTTTCTAGATGAAGTTACGAACTATTATCTGGAAGCCAAATACTTTACTGGTAAAACTGCTGAAGTTAGTTCTTAATGAGCGAACCCTGAGTTATGTTTTTAACACGCTCAAATCTACATTCAATCAGTTAATTACAAGTCAAAATTTTTGCCCTTTATAACTTCTAATGACTAGTAAAAACTAGTTAATTAATCCACCAAATCTCTATATAAAACACTATGAAAGAATCGTACAAAATACGAACATTGTTATGTGAAAGATTCAAAATGCTCAACGTTGACGATGATATTATCGTACCGCCTTCAGTATCGGATTCATCTGAACGTGCTAATCGCACACTGGCTTGCCACAGATTATGTCTACAATAATGCATCTATCATTTAACGTTTTTCCCATAATCCTACCAATACAACTTCCTATATACTCTTCAAGCCTCGCGGCTCATACTATAACATCAACAATTAACTTTAAAAGCAATCACTGAACACATCCCCAAATCAAGTCTCTACTTCACAATGCACATGCTAAAATTTCAAGCTCTAAGTTCAATTTCAGGTCGCTTCCAACCAACCTTTTCAGTTCATGTATTTGAATATTCGGATCATCCATTCGTCCGTTAATACTCAACGAATCTTCAGTTGAGATAGTTGAATGGAATGTGCGTGATTCACCGCATATCGAGCCCGCACTTGTACCCCCGACCACGCCATTGTTATAATTATTATTATAGCTATTGTTAGCACTAGCAGTGAAATTACTCGATGAATTTATCAAATTATTCATCAGATTCGTATGTTCCTGCACTGGGTGATGACGATTCGGTGTTGCGGATTTCTGCGATGATACCGAATTTGTGCGCGATGATGACACTGTCGATACAATCGAAGAGGCATGCGATCCGGACGAGGGTACTCCGACGACGGATGGTGGGTGCGAGCTTACTCTCGCAGACTGTGGTATGGCCATTAACAAATTATTCGACGCGTTCAGTTCACGCAGTCTCGGAGCTAACCACAGAGTTTCCGGGAGACTAATCAACTGATTGTGTGATACGTCTAACATGCTCAAATTTGGTAGTCGCGACGAAAAAATCTGAAATTATTTCATTGTTATCTTACCGATATTCGTTCTTTCTAAACAATTCACACCGTAATCTCTCTTATACATCAAGTTCTCACTGTCCATATAATATTTTCCGTAACTTATCTATATTTTCCATAATTCGATATCTGTTACAGGCACATTGATAGCTGAACTTAATTAAGATCAGACACTTTTGCAACGTTTACAACAGCTGTAAACAGTAAACAAATAAACAGTAAATTGTAAACAAACAAATAAATAATGCATATATTCACATTAAATGCAACCATGTAAACCTCAATGAACAAACAAATCAGTAAACAACAAAACAATAAGTAAACAATAAACAAATAAGTAAACAAACAAACAAACAAATAATAAACAAGTAAACAATAAACAAACAAACCTGCGGTGGTAAGCACTTGATCTTGTTATGTTCCAATGACAAACTTTCCAGCATTGGTGCATTCCAATCGTCCGATTCCATTTCGATGAATTCAATCACGTTATTTGCCGCATTCAAATTTCGCAGCGATTGTAGTTGCAGTAATGAACTGTTCAATTTTATCAGCTGATTTGATGAGATATCAATCCGTGTCAACGCTGACAAGGCCATCCTTTAAGCTTATCACCAGCATTATCACCGCCAAGTTATCATTCAATAAGTAACAATAAACAAACCTCGACGTTCTGAGTCGTTGATTTAGTTGTAAGCATGCGGATAGTAACCATTCATTAGCTATGACCGATAAACTCGCATTATGCCAGTTCAACATGCACGATGTCGTCGGAAATACTGTTGATGGCAAAAGATTTCGATTGATTGTCATTTGTCCAAAATCGATTCCTTTCTTGTTGACTCGATAATCTGGATCAACAAATACCAATCTTGAGAGCAACAATCTGACTAGTGGCTCTTGATTATTCTGAAAACAACGATCATCGACAGTAAACAACTGGAATAAATCCGTAAATAACATAGTAACAAGCAATTAAATCCAGTAACAAATACAGACTTTCACAGCAGTCGCCAACGCGACGTTCTCGTGGTCGATTGCTCCGTTCTGGAAGAGTAGCTGCACCAGGGGCGCACACCCCACCCGGCATGCCTCGTTCAGCGCACCTGAACCCACGCATCTCGCTCCTTCTACGCTACAGATATCCGCATCTGTCAATGCACACGGTAAATTCACATCTGCACCGTGCTCTAACAATAATCTGCAATAAAATATTTTTGTGAACAAACACATCAATAAAATTGTCATTGTGAGATTCATTAGCCTTCATCAAATTTTAAATTCGATCATTAATATGGCACAGAGCACAGAGGCTTTAGGCTACCTTTCCTATTGCCCGATGAGTTACTTCTAGGAAGAGCTCCAACCAACTCAAAAAGAGCTCGAGCCAGCTCAAAATGAGCTCCAGTCACCTCAAAGCTCGCCTATCCGTTAGTGGCCACCGAATCGCTCGGCCAACTCTGACCAAATGAACAATAGCGAGCGATTGATTATTGTGGATAACACAGCAACCATCATCACTATCGCTATCATTTTAACCATTACTATCGCTACTATCAGTATCATTATCACTTATCAGTAACAATCCAAACACTCACTTAACCATTGGTATATTCGCATTTGCCGCGGCAACCATCAGTGGTGTTCGACCACCACTACAGTACACGTCCACTTGGAATGGGCACTTGTGATCAGTGCTCATCGATGGAAATTGCACCTTAATTGTAAACAATTAAACAACAAACAAGTAAACAAATAAACAAGATAAGCGAACAAATCGAG